AAAATATCGAAAAATATACAGCGCGCGAATTTTAAATGAGAACTTCCGAAAACCTTTCGGTCACAATGTAATTAAATCATGTCTCATACTAGAACGATGAGACATGATTTTTCCGTTTGTACTTGCTTAAATTTGTTGATTTTATTCACTATTAAATTATTAATCACCTTTTCTATCACTAATTGAAGTCTGTAAAAATTTCAATTTTATTATAAAAAAATCACAAATATCTTATAAACAATAAAGAAAAGTGTTAAAAATACGATAACCCAACTTAACCTCGAATGGCAACAGAAGAAAAACGGCTAATGCCGATGCCAATCAGGCGAATTGGCAATGAAATTGAATTGTTTTTGAATTGAAGTTGTTTCGCTTAATAATTTTACAGATTTTTCTCCATTTGGCAGTTGGCAATGCTAAAATGAAATATAGTTACCAACATGAAAAATGTACATTTAAAGTGAAAAATGAAAATGTTAAAAAGCGCTTTTATTTTTTAATTAATATATTTATTTGTTTCAGTTGTTGTTGCAATCTTTTCTCTGCTCTAAAGCTTCAAAACCAAAACTTCAAACGCTTAGTTGCCTACTAATACATTGCATTGCTATTAAAAAATTAACATGTGGCAGCAGCATAAGTGTGCATTTATACTTGATGTCCAAAGTATGAAAAAAATAAAAAAAAATACAAGAAAATAACTCTTTAACTTATTGATGATGTCGTGATTAAAAACATTAACGATCGCATTTAGATTTTGTCTGTCCGCCCGTTTGTCCGTCTTTGCGCCAACTTGCAGGCGTTTTCAATGCACTTTTAAATACTGTGCAGGCAGCAACTTAGCTAAATACATGCTTAGTTAAGATACATTAGCGAAGATACATATACGTGTTTGTGCCGATATTGTTGCATTAAAATTATACACATGAAATGCTGCATGCATCATGCGGCAATCAGCCGCAGTATATGCAATTCATGTGGCAAGTGCAGCGGCAAACATAATGAAGTATACTTCATGCTATATCCATTAACGATGCTAATTTGTTGTTTTAAGGTGAAAATATGTATTTAAAAACTACAATTATGTTTTGAAATTATTTATTAATTTTTATGAATGCAAACATTAAGTAGCGTTTAGTGCTCAAATTGCTTTTCTATTTGCTGTGCATTTCAATTTTGTGCAGTTCGTTTAAAACTGCTCGAGGCAAAATCGAAAGTATCTTTACTACGTAGCGTAGTTGAAGTTTAGCTGAAGTGCAAATTTTAAACAAATTGCAAAATAATAACAATTATGTTTATTATTAAAAAAAATTTTTTATAATTTTATTTCTTGCCATTTTTTTTTTTGTTTTTCTAAATTGCCAATCTTAAATTCACAACTTATTGCATTGTCACTTAAAATGTTAAAACTGACAATGCGTTGATTTGTGTCAACGAGAAAAACTAAATTAAATAAAAAATATTTGTTGGCACTGTTGTTGTACTGAACCAGGCTGCAAATGTGGCTAGCAAATGCTAACTTTTTATGGCCATGTTTGCACTTCCACTTTCTTTTGACATTTTCAATTGCAGTTTCTTCAAATGAAAGTGACACATACTTGCACTTGCGCGCACTAAATCAACGTAATAGTCCAACAGCAAAAGTGCACACCAACAACAACAATAATAACAACTACAACAACAACCAAGTGCCATTAAATCCATTAAAAAGCCAGGTCCAGTCTCAGTAGTCTCAGTCAAGTGAGTGTCTATGTTTATCTGCTGCCGCTGCCTGAGGTGAGCTGGGCAATTTAAAGCATTTTCTTTGCATTTTTGATTTAATATGCCGTATGCTCATTTGCTGATATTTGAGGCGGAAAAGTTATGAAAAAGGCTAAAGAGTTATGTTTGAAGTTAAAGTGAAAAATGTTTTAGTTTCATAATGAGAAGTATTTCCAGTTATTATTAATTAATATAGTAAAACAGTTTTTAGATAGTTAGTTCGGGGAGTCGATATACCATAAGTAGACAGCATTTAAGATTTTTTATTCAATTTTATACTTTTGTCTCACCGAAAATTAAATTTTCCTTCCACAAAACGCTTAAGCTAGTTTTGATCTCTTATTTAATTATGTAATCAAAAATTTTCTGCAAATGTATACTTTTTACATAACTAGCGAACTAACAGTACATCTACCAAATTCAAAGTCCTTTCTTATCTCACATATTGTAAATAAAAGCAATTGTTTTTCTTTTCCATCAATTTTAATATAATAATCCCAAAAAATTGAATAAAGAATGTATGACTTTACAGATTCTATAAAACTTGCTTAAAATATAAGTATAATAATATTTCTTTCCTACAAAAATATTAAATTAACAGGACATCTCCAGAAATTAAAAGATTTCAAGTTTAATATCACACTTCATTTTTCAGTTATCCTAATTAAAAACAATGTCTCGTCTACTGTCTTCAGTATGACTACACAATGAAAATTAATAGAGCAAAAGGGTTTTTATACCTATAGCTCCTTCCTCGTATCTTTGATTCACCGAAACATTAAAATTAATTATATTCTACTATCGATATTATATATTACGAGCATATTATTATTATATATTATATTTGGTTACTCAGGCATCCGAATTAGTCAAAAGTTGAAAGTATCTCATTTTGCAATTGGTTAATATAAATAATACAACACTCTTGATTTGAGACTGCAGTCTGTAGACTGCTGAAATATCTTCACTCTTGGACCACCAAATCTGAATTAGTCGAAAGCTAAATCTTATTTTAGGTTGGTTAACATAAATACCGTAACTCTATAGATTTTAGACTACAGACTGCAAACACCTACAAAGTTCCTTCAATCTTGGACCACTAAATCCAATTTCTAAGTTGGTTCACATAAATAAATCAACACTACAAATTTTACACTGCAGATTATGACCACTAAATCTGCTTTTGTCAATTTTTGAGTTCTTGAACATGACTAAGGAAACACTCTACACTTAACACTCCAAATAACTGTCCACAAGGGATTTCACTTTGAAAAAACAATGTTTTTACGGAATACGCATTTGCCAAATTGTATCAATACTTTAGAGCTTCAAGTTGATACTGCGTCGAAGATCAAAAAGCTTTAAACACAGTAATAATGATGGCACCCATGAGTGAAGTGAAATACGGAGTATATCATCCGCCCATTTCATTTGTTTATAACTTGTAATTTTTTTGCAAGCTATTTTGTCAGCAGAATATAGCTGTTAGATTAGATGGATTTCATAGTGGGATAGGTGAAGATCGTCTTTAAAAATCTAACGATCATTTTACATAGAACACCCTAATGTGTTGAAACAATAATGTATCATTGTGTTGTTGTTTTAGGATTATGTGAAACGAGCTAATTTCACATAATCCTAATTTCTTTCATTTTAATTGTAGATTATTTTCGTTGAAACTTATGTTTATAAATTTTATCTTAATAAATTTAGTATGGTGTTTTCACAGGCTAATAGGTCAGTTTTTTATTATTGTTGCAAATAAAAGTTAATAAAATGCAGCAAATTATTTTAAAACAATTTTTATTTATTTAGACTTTAGTCTAAAATCTTCACTACGACAGTCATGATTTCAGAATAAAGTCCAAATGTTGATAAAATAAAAATTATTTTAAAATAATTCGTAATTTGTTCTTATTTTTATTTCTAACAATTAACCTGACACAATATTTAAAATCGTTGGTCATAAAATAATAAATGTTTAATTAATAATAATTTAGCTTATATTTTTGTAGAACTAAATTTTTAGTTATATTAGTATAATTTTTTTTAGTTATTTTTAGTTATGTGTTATTATTTGATTAAAATATATAATTTTTAAAGGCATTTGTCTTTTATTTTCGAATAAAGAAGAAGTTCAAATTATAGCAATGTTTTTTTTTTATTATATTTATTTTAGTTTAATAAATTTTCTATATATATTTCTTGAACCTATAGGAATTTTAAAAAATTTCATGGTTTTAAATGTAAAAATACCCAACTATTATATTGAACTATGTTATTTTTATACAGACCTTCAAAACTCTTCACTTACAGCGAAGATACCTAATATTATTTAATATTTTTTTTAATGTTCTGAGTAATATATTTTACTGTGTTATTTTATTCCTCAGTAATTTATATCTTCAACATATTTTCCTTGAAATACTTTAATTAAATTAAATGGACATAAATTATAATGTTGCCATTAGTTCGAAATTCCACAATTCAAATTAAATAATCTGCTATATCATATGTTGTAAAAGTTGTACCATTTCAACCTTAAAGTTATATGCATTCAATAATAAAACAGAAAAACAATTAGACTTTATAATATTTACAAATACTCCAATGAGGAATTTCTTTGAATTCAATAATAAAATTCAAAAGCAATGACCTCAAAGCACTGCTCTCATTTTGTCTTGAAACTCAAAGCAAATTGCAGTTCAATTTTAACAGCCTCAAGTATCATTGAGACTACATTGATCCCAACATGGTTCAATTACCTTTTGACCATTTATTTCTTATTACCATATTTTGCTTCATATTAACGCGTTGTTTTAGCCACAGCCATCACGTGTTACGTTTCATTCATTTGCGTGTATCTACTTTAGGTACAAAGTAGCTTCTTCCTATTATTTAATTTTGATTTTTATCTTTCTTCCAATCGAATCGAATGACCTTCGTCGATCATATTGCTGTTTTAAGTCATATTGTTGTTATATGATCGACAATGAAAGATATTTGGGCCTGTGATTGCCACAATCTATAATGCAGTTTCTTCTCGACCACAACAACAACACGCACTGTTACAATTGGTCAATGTCAATGTCAGCCTTTGTTTCATACTTCGATTTCAATTTTCTCTTTTATTTTTGATTTAAAAGCTTTTCTGTCCGTCTTCCACAGCTGCAGTGTAGCAGTGAAGATTTCTGATTTATGTTCATATTTAAAAGACCATAATCACTGCAGCTCTACGAGCCATTTAGCCTTCGCTTTTGGGGTCATAAAGTCTTAGTTTTACAGTCAAGAATTCCTAGTAAAAATTGCTTAGATTAAAATGCTCATTTTCGTTTACTTTGTTTGCGTACTTCAAACACATCAAAGCAGTTCCATTATGTTCTGTGCTCTTCGATTCTGTTTAAAAATGTTCAAGCCTTTCCATTTGTTAGTCATACTTGTGTTAATGCATTTTAAACAGATTTTCGAAAAATACACAAATTTCATTTCATTTTCTTCACTGCAAATTAGAATTAAGAAATCAAAAGTAAAATCAACACTTAACATTTGTGAACAGCATTTGGTCAGAATCACCAATGCAATTTATGAGTAGCAAAAAAATCGCTTAACACAAACCTTTTGGCGTATGGACAGTCTCAGCTGTGGCAAATAGCAAAATGGCCTTTTGTGTTAAGTTTTATTTACGAAAAAAATATCTACAATTTTATGAAAGCTTAAAAATGAAGATTGTATCTGAGTATCTATAGAATGACTAAGTGTATACGCCCACTGCATCAGCCTGTTTAGTTCAATCAAGCGGTTAAAATGCTTGAAAACACTCGTAACAGATAAAACTGACAGATAAATTAAGTTAAATGCATTCAGTGCAAAAAACATTAAAAATAAAAATTGAAAAAAATCAAAAAGTTTAACTAAATTACAAAATTACAACATATATCGCAATGCACAAATAGGAGCAGCTTCCTCTAAACAAACATTGCAGTCAGTCATTGTAACGCAAAAGCAATCCAAAATACACTTTACACTAAAGAAATATTTACTTTGACTCAGAAAATAAAAAAAAAATTTTAAAAAAATTGTATAACTCATGTATACCTATATGTTTTTTTTTTCTTTTTTTATATTTTCAATCAATGGAAATCTGTTTTTCTGGAGTTTCTGGAATATTAACATGAAACGGAAAAAAGTTAGACAAACCTACAAGGAGAAAAACAGTACTCTTATTTATAAGCCTAGAATCTCTTTATGTCCTAAAAAAGTGTAATATTTTCCTACTTATTAGGAAAGAAGGAGAACAAAAAAGACTATATTAGGACAATATAATTAGTTATGTGTTAGTTGAAGTGGAAGGAGGAACGAATCCTCCTCAATTAGCTAAAGAAAAGCAATTTTGAATCTACAATTTCTCGTAATAGTGAGTAGCAGAAGGTCGAACTAGCACAAGGCAGAAGCATTTATAAAGGCGAGGACAACCTAACAGATTTATCATAATTCAAATTGCTAAGTAGATACGATAGAAGTACACAGTACCTTCAATTGTCAACCGAAAAAACTAAAAAATGTTTTAAATAAAATTTTTAGTTTTTGCAAAGCATATGCTTCAAAGCATATGCTAGGAAGATATCCTTCAATAAAACATAAAAAAAACAAACTTATAAGTGATTTCCTGGGTAAATATATTTCAACAGCAAGAAAAAGGATAAATACTAACATTAAATCAGAAAATGACACCAACTTTAACTCCATGCAGCGTAAATAATAGGCCTTAATGTCGCAAATCTATCTCTTTTCATAATAATAATTTATTTTGAAATATTTTAATAAATTAGCCAGAATACTACACTAATGCTAACGAATATTTTCACACGATTGTTTAGAATTCAGTATTATTTCTAAATACATATTTCTATAACATCAGAACTGACTATTAAAAAATAGAAGCCTATCTTAAAACTTAATGTATTAAGATTAATGTATAAGATCTAAACACACAGTTAGATTGAAACTGGGCAGTTTTAATAGTTTTTATTTTAATTTAATTAAATATTTTCATTTCTAAGAAATCTTACTGTTCCAAAATATGAACCGTCTTATACAGTAAAGTTGTATAGTTTACAGTATAGTATAGTAAAGCCCACTTTTATAGTGGGCTTTGTTAACTATCATAAGAACAAACACCGTATATTGACAAAACAATGTGTTTTGAAGCATTGTTTATTTCACCAAAATAATGCATCGTATTTAATATATTTGATAATTAACGAAAATTCATATATATAACTTTTGCTTTTATCTCCATTCGGGCGTATATTCTCCCTCAACTACTACAACTAACTGTTCGGGCACCTTAAAATAAACATTGAACAAAAAAGTTTGCCATTACACGCAATAATGAAACTTAATGATTATCGAGGGGACATCCTGACAAATCGTACAAGAAAAAGAAATTTATATATTATCATTAAAGGAAAATAAATTGATGAATAATATAAATCTTGTCGATAGTAATGTGTCAAATCAAATATTTTCAAGTATAGAACTCTTCTTTTGTTTATTATATATAATAACCCTAAAATTATTCACAAAAGTCGATACGTTGCCCAACCCCGCCCTAACACACCACAAGCCCTAAGTCCACCTCAGAACGCACAGGATGATATGCTGATCTATGATGCGTCATTAGTTAGAAGATAAATAAATGATAATGATTCTAGTTAAAGTTTAGTGTGGGGCAGGGATAAGCCCCCCAATCACAAAAGAGTAAAAGTGCGCAATAGCACTAACTCAAATCACAACAACAACACATTACATTACAACACATCTAATAATCCTATTTAAATGTCACCACTGTCAGTGTTTTTCTGAAAATCTTGCAAGACCATTTTCAGAATCCATATTATTATATTTATATTATATTTATATTCATAATCCATATATATTTTTTACTCATAAAAATCTACAGCATAAGAGCAGTAAAGAGTAGAAGAAGTAAGCGCTTGATATTCTATAGTATAGTGTGCTTTCGATATTCAGACCACCAGTAATCCAGACAATCATTGGTACGTGTTTCGGTTGGAGATTAGTTTAGCAACTCCAGCGATAAAATAAGAAGGCGACAACTTAACGTGTGTAGATGTGTTTGAGAGTATAGAGAAAAAAACAGAAGCATGAATATGTAGCTGAGAGCCAGTAATTTCTAACTAAACAATAATTTGTAAATAGATAATTTGCTAAGCCAAAAAAGCGTAACAATTTGGATTATCAAGAGTATGTTGTATATTGCGTTACTGATTGCCCTGTTTCACTCTTTTAAACTAGAATGTTCTAACTTTTATTACAATTTTTCACTGCAGTAAATAAATACAATTTCATTGCTTATAACTTTGATATTTATAGACATATATATTGTATTTCATATTTATTATTAATTGAGTAATTCTGAACATTTTAGAAATGTAATTTATCATCGTCAAAGTAGGTGCCATCTTACAGAGAAAAAGTAACCTAGAAGAGTGCAAATAAATCGTAACAAAGTGCAAAGTAAATTGAATAGAAAAAAAATTGTATAGTTTTCGCTTTGGGATTGAATTGGTGAAATCTGATTAAATTTCTGTTTGTTGCCGCAATTTACGCTTCTCCTATATTCCAAAATAAAAGTCATCAGTGACATCAAAGTCAACATCGCCATCACCATCACCATCTTTGTATCGGTCGAAATCAGCCTCACCATCGCCTTCATCGAAATCAACATCTGCAACATTTTCTCTAAGCGCATCGAACTTGGTAGCTAAATCAGGAGCGGCATTATTAGCAACATGAGCTAATTGCAACTCCTGTGGCTGCAACAGCAATTGTCTTTGCCGCTGTTGTTGTTGTCGTTGCTGCTGTTGTTGTAAATGTTGTTGTGATGACATCTGAGAATGTCTCATTGTTTGCGCTTTTTGTTCCAACAACATTTGTAATTGTCGCCGCAACAAAGGATCTAAATTGTTAAATGATTTCGCATGATTTTGTTGTAGTTGCAATTGTTGTAGATATTTTTGTTGTTCTTGTTGTTGTTGCTGAAAGAGTTCACGTTGTTGTCTCTGCTGTCGGCTGTTTTGTTTTGCTAATAAGCGTCGCCTTTGTTGCTGTTGCTGCAGCCGCTGTTGCCTTAAGGCTGCTGACATTGATCTTGTCGAATGTAATCTATTCGCAGCAAGGCTTGTGGCACTGGCAACTCTTGTTGGACGTGCATGGATGAAACCTGTACGCCAACGTGGTTGCATTGGTGTTGACATCTCTTGAGCTTTGATTGCTGTTGCTATACTTGTTGCAGCTGTTGGTTTTGGTGCAAGTATTGATGACTTGACTGATTGATTGTAACCATTAAGTTTATATGTTGTTGACATTCTTTGTGGCCAATCGTTAAAATAGTTATTTTTATTATTGCCGCCTTTGTTGTTATTGTGATTGTTGTTGTTTTTGTTTTTGTTTTTATTACTCTCATATTCCATAGCCTGTTTGTGTTTATTTTTGCAATTTTTTTGTTGTTTCAATTTTTGTTGTAGTTTTTCCAATTTGCGACGCCGCATACCAAACGTGGAAAGTGTCGTCGGCCATTGATAGTCAAAATCCATTGCAATATCGTTCCCATCATCGTTTGCCATTGAAGCAGTTATTGTTGTTGGTGGCTTTTGTTTTTTGCCACGATTTGGTATAAATGGATCATTATTTTTGAAGAGATCACTGATTTTGTCACGTCTACCACGATTTGGAACAAACCCCTCATGATGTTGCATTAGCGCATCGAGCGCATCTGGTAAATTGTGTTTACGTCCGCGTGGTGGTATGAATGGATCGTTTCTATATTTCGGACCTGACAATGTAATAAATTTAAAAGAATTAAATAAGTACAAATATGACAATAATTAATGGAAATAATTTTAGAATAAATTTAATTTATTTTTTACGAAATTGACACAATTATTTATCGAAAAAATTTACTATTTACTAATGTACATAATTTCCATACTAATTTGAGTGGCCATGCCAGAGTTGAGTGATTCATAAATCAATTTCCCTTTTATTTTCAGATTTTTATTTAAAATATAAAAATATTTTTAATAATTGGGATACCTTAACGAATTACGGTCATTTATATAAAGATATTACCATAAAATTTTGAAAACTATGCTTTGTACGTTTCGTACTTATTTTGCATACTTAATTAATGTTGAAATTGTTTTTCGATGGCAGTACAGTATACAGTATAGAAATTTCAGATTAAATAATTGCATTAATTTCATATTCATTGCTTAGCTTTCCACGTAAAATAATAATAATAATTACATTAAGAAATGCAATTGCAACATCATCGTCATGTTGCGTACTGCA